TTGGTTGTTAAAGATTTTAAAGGCCATGTCTGATAGCTCTAATTGAGGGATTTGTGGGCCCTTTTTTTAATTTTTGGAGTTTGCGCCTAATACCTGGTGGTGACTGGGAGATAAAATACATAGTCAAAAGAGTTTGTCCCTCCACAGTGTTTAAATTAATATTCATAAACTGCTGCAACGTCTTAGGCGACTTAGAAACATTGCTGGATTTCCATCTGGTTTTTGAAAAACCTCTTTTATTCTGTCCTAGTTAGCCTGTTTATTAACACTTTTTTGTAGTTAGCTAACAGGATTTATTTACATGATCCCTTTACTTTTGTCTGGGAAGAAGGTTGATATAGTTTTAGTTTAGATATAACTTGAGAGAAATTTATGATAAGAAAACAACAAAGACTTGTTGCCCCTTGTAGGGATGTTACCAGGAAGTTATCAAGCAGTGAGGGGAGGGGGGTGAAAAGGCACCATGGCCTTTGGCACCGGTCCCTTTTCCAAAGGTAAGAGAGAAAGACTGAAGGTAGACTTTTTTTTTATTTGTGAGAGGTCTGAGGTAGAGAAGGGGACGTGTACCTGAATGACCGGTGTGGCCTTGGATCGGGTTACCGGAGGGCTATACTGGGGGGTGATTGAAAGGGGAGGGCACAGAGGTTGAATTGCTGGAGAAGTGGGTGGAGCTGAAGAGGAAGGAGGAGTCTCCTCTGCAGGATTGAAATCCAAGATGGGAGAAGAGCAAGCCGCTGGGAGGGGCCTTACAGTGTTTGTGGTGGGGGAGGGGAGTTTGGAGGAGGAAGCAGAGATGCATGTAGGACAAAGGGAAAGAGAGAAACTGTAGAGGGAGTGTTTATGGAAGAGTGAAAGGGACTGAACGTGGGGAATCTCTACCTACCATTCTGAACGCTCACAGAAATTATATAGGTCACTGATTTTGGTTGTCTAAAGGATATGTTGGCCAGTCTTGTGTGTGTAGAGGCGAATTAGGCATTTGGGCTTGATATCGGGAGAGAGAGAATCGGCCGGCAGGGATTACGAGCCTCCCATATTAAGACAGGTGGACCAAAGGGGGCGTCCCCTGAAGAGTTGGCTGTCCGAGAAGTGTGGCTGTGGCAAAGTCTGTCGTCACAGAGGTTTGGCACAACCAGGGTTCTCCTGGAGAACCGAGGGGGTCAAGGCACCTAGCGCTAGGATTTCCCGAATCAGACAGAGAGCACTTGACCGGGCGGCGGGTGGGGAGTGTATTCACTGCCAGTCGAACACAGTTTTTGACGTGGGACCCCTTAGAATCCACCGTGGGCCAACAGACGTGACCGGGCAGCCATGGAATTCCTTAGGGAGGGGGGAGAAAGAGATAGAGAGAATTTTACTAAAACCGCTGTGGGTTAGCAGCCATGGGGCCCCTGGGGCCCGCTGTAAACTGGCAGCCGTGGGAGTTTTTAAAGTTTGAGAGAGATAAAGGAGAAGAGGAAGCCTTTAGGGTCTGTGGTGGTCATGAAAGCCGAGGCGGGTGTGTTTTCCCTCGCCCGGTGGCCGGAGCGGGTGTGGTTTGAAGCCCGTTCCCTCTGGAGTTCCCCGAAAAGTTCTTATCCCTTGTTTGGGGAGGGGGACTTGCCTATTCAACGAGTGCTAGTGTGAATGTGGCTGGGGCGTTCAGAAGGGTGGGGAAAGTTTGACAGAGCTGGATTGGCCACAGGCATCGAATTGGGATTCCCGCCCAGGGGGGAGAGAGAGACCTGTACAAGAGCGAGAAAGACCCGATTAACAGTGGGACCTAACACCCGTTAAGGCCAAGAGTTCAATGGGTCGAAGCGGGACGGGAGGGAGGGAAATCTCTGCCCACTTTTTCGAATGCTTATAGGAGTTAAAGAGGTTGTTTTAGAGAAAAACCAGTAGGGGTCCGCTGTGGCTTTGAAAACCTAGGTGGGGTGTGGTCCCCCCCTCACCTGGGTCCGAAAGAGTCGCTGGACGATCAACGGTCCGTCCTTTTCGGGTATCCCGGGCGAGGTTTTTAGGTTTTTCAGGTAAGGGCACTTACCTATCCAAGGTGGTGATGGATGCGGCGCTGGCATTCAAGAAAGTGGGCGAAGGCCTTAAGGGGTGAGTGCCACCAGTGCTGGGACGGGGTCTCACCTTAGAGTGAGAGAATTCCCGACCGAGGCATGGCACCAATGAAAGACAGTGACGCGCAGCGAGACTCAACACCCTTTGAGGCCAAGAGATTTATTAGGGCAGCAGCTACAGAAAGAGGGAAGAGGGTCTGTAACCGCCTGGTAGGGGAGGGAGAGTGAGAGAGAGCCAGCAAGAGAGTGGTGGGGACAGAGAGAGGAGAGAGCGAGTGAGAGAGGGGGAGAGAGGGCGAGAGAGAGAGAGAGAGAGAGAGAGAGAGAGAGAGAGAGAGAGAGAGAGAAAGCAAGAGAGAGAGAGAGCTATGTAGGGAGAAGGGTATATTTATGGACCTTGCAGGGGCTGGCCTGTGCTGTGCCTGGGTCTCATCGGAGGAGACCATGAGGCAGCATTTTTACAGGGAGAGGTTGTTTGAGCACAGGTTTAAGTTTCGTGGGCAGGAAAAGCCGCATAGGGCCTTTGTTGTCTTTGGGAGGCAGCGCCATCTTGGGGACGTCCTTCTGACTGTTCTCTGCGCCTTTCAGCTACCGTCATTCAATTTAACTTTGGAAAATCATACATAACATCTCTTAAAATGTGCGTACATTTTGTGAGGGGGCACCCTGGTATTTTTCCACATCACAGCACACACCACAATTTTTGTTCATATACTTTTTGTGTGTGATTTTCAAATGTCTGCTCACCCACAGGGACCATGTAGTTGAGACTGGTAGACTCAGGATCTAGCATAAAATTGAGAATCTGTAAATAGTTATTGAATTAATAAGGCATGGAATGACCCAGGAGGCACGTTTTCCTTTTCTTATCTCCTTTAATTTAGTGGTCGTTATAGGATTTTAGCAAATGAATAGAGACTAAGCAGCCCAGGAAAAGCCCAGAGGCTCAAAGGGCAGCAGAGTCAAATCCAGTCCGTGAAGGGCAGTTTAGAGCTGACACCCAACGCAACATGATTTGAGGGAGCCAGAAGACAGGCTCCAGTTCTATGGGGAGGCTCTTAGGAAGGGGCATTGCCAAGCTGCTTCCCGGGAGAGGCTGTAAAGGGTCTGGGGGTGCCCAGCTAAGTTTGCAGGCACTGCTTGCCTGAGGGTCATCTCAAGTTTAAACTACACGCGTCACTTGCAGGAGTCCCTGACTCTGATTTCACATTCTTTCCTGTATTATCGACTCCTTTTTTTTTTGAGTTGGAGTCTCACTCTGTCGCCTTTGATGACAGTGAGGGTATAGACAGAGATGTTCTGGTCCTTAACTGGTGATGGGAAACAAGAACTGTGCCCAAATGGGATCCCACAAGCGAGATGTGAGACTTTCTAAGGTATGCCACTCCCATTGTCCACATCTCAGTTGTAGTCTCACTGGCAAATACATTATTAGGATTCCTTTTTTTTTTTAAGTTGAGGTCTCACTTTGTTGTCCAGGCTGGGGTGCAGTGGCACAATCATGGCTTACCTTAGCCTCCAACTCCTGGGCTCAGGCAGTCCTTCCACCCCAACCTCCCAAGTAGTTGGGATTACAGGTACACACCACTTCGCTCTGGTAATTTATTTTTGTAGACATGGGGGTCTTGCTCTGTGGCCCAGGTTGGTCTTGAATTCCTGGCCTCAAGCAGTCCTCCTGCCTCAGCCTCCCAGAGTGCTGGAATTACAAGTATGAGCCACTGTGCCCAGCAGCGTTGTGTTTTATAAGATTAATTCTTTAAATTATATGGTGTCAATCCTTGCTCATATGTTGAACTTAAAGAGATCAAATGCAGCCCAAGCCAAAATGGCTTACTGAAATACTGTCTATGAGGGCATTCAGTGTTTTGCAAACAGGGGCTGTATCAGATAGGATAGAGATTTTAATTTAAAAAGAAAATGTGCTGCAGTAATTATATGGAAAAACAAAATATCTGTCATATGTTCAGGGACTGTTGTACTAGCATATCGTAAGACACGTTTGCTCCTTGCCTCACATGGCTTCCTTCATCACCGAGAGGCTGGTGTCCCTAATAGCTGCTACCCAGTGGGTGACCATGGCCTTACCTCGTGGTGGTTTTGCTCTGTTCCATGGGGCAGGCTCCTGGGAAGGGCAGTGTGCCTTCAGTTGGAGGGAGGCATCTGAGGAAATCGTCCATGAAAGGAATCCACTGGAGAGCCGTCTGTCCCCAGAAAAGCATCCTGTAAGAATGAAGGCAGTGGGCCTGACACAGACCAGGAGGCAAACATAGCCTCTTTGCTGTGCCTGTCTAATGTATGTGGTGGCTTCAATTAGCAACGTTTGGCCACTGGCCTTCCAATGTAGCCTGTACTAGTGGCGGGGATGTGCCCAGAGCCACAGACCTGCTCACGCGGTCATCCAGTGTTCAACGGTCTGAAGCTGATGCCTTAAGTTGCTGGCCTATCCTTCCCATCTGTCTTTCAAACAAACGGAAGCTATGATTAAAAGAAAAGTACGACATGGTGGCATTTTTTCAAATTATTTATATCTTTCTAAAAGGTATCATATTATATCAGTGCTTTCCAGCCTGAAAACCAAATTGAAATTTTTGATTTATGTGTTACTCGCCATGGAGAAGGATTGAAGCAGAGGTCACAGACAGTAGGAACGCACACAACTTAATGGCATTTGATTTCTTGGAAGACAAGACATTATTAAGACTTGAGTTTGGAGGAGGAAGATAAACTTAGCACTATTCCAAGTGCAGAGGAATGTCATTATCATGGGTATCAGTGACACACATTCTATTATTACTGGTGTCTTAAGATACAAATAGCACTATGGTTTTCATTTTTATCACAGAGCTACGTCTTTGATTTTTCCTTTTATTATAATTTTTCTATGAAGGATTTCACCATATTATAACAATAGGATAATAAGGAAGGCAAAAGCTCACATGATCTCAAGCCACAGGCGCTTGCTGTGAAGAGTGATATTCCTCAAACTGAACTGGAATAAGGAATATGAGGTCTGACAGTGAGGTTGGTGAACACTGCTAGAAAAAGTGCCACATACCTCATTGCTGAATATCACTACAGTCACCTTCAAAGTCCTGCCCTTGGGAGGTTATGCATTCACCAGCACCTAGTCAACCCGTCAAAGCAATCTTTTTCTGGAGTGGCCATAAGAGCTGTTGTCGTTATTTGTTGAGATCTGACCATTAAGTGATGAACTTGCCACTGTGTGCTTACATTGGCAACACTGTACAAAAAACTATTAGAACAATGTTCCCTCCTCACCTGATCTGGACCCCAATGACTCTCTTCTTTACCCAAAAGATGAAGGAAATATTGAAAGGAAGCCATTTGATGACATTCGGAACATCAAGCGTCATACGATGACGGCTCTGATGGCCATGCCACAAAGAGTTCCAAAATGGCTTTGAGGGGTAGACTAGGTGTGGGCATCAGAGCATAGCTTCCCAAGGAGAAGACTTCGAAGGTGACCGCCATGATATTCAGCCTTGAGGTATGTAGCACTTTCTCTAGGATGGTTCATAAAACTTATTGTTGGATCTTGCATTGTTATAACAAAATCAGTGTGCTTTAGATATTAATCTACTCACTTCTTTTCCTTTTCAACCAATAATATAAAACAGTTTATGTCTTCTGGTACCAATGCTAATGAAAATAATATCTTGAAATTATAAACCAACCCAATCTTATTTACTTGTTTTAGGTTTTATTTGTTTAAGAAAAATCTCCCTTAGAAATACTGTAAAATGGTGAAAAGAATAATATTAGCTGATCTCTCACAGAAACAAAGATCTGAGTATCACATGTTCTCACTCATAAGTAGACCTTGAACATCTATTATAATACTATAAGAAAAGGATTGTCTGGGCTCCGTGGCTCAGCCTGTAATCCCAGCACTTTGGGAGGCCAAGGTGAGTGGATTGCCTGAGCCCGCGGGTTCGAGACCCGCCTGGGCAACTTGGCGAGACCTCATCTGTACAATAAATCAAAAATGAGCCAGGCGTCGTAGCGCGTGCCTGTAGTTCCAGCTACTTGGAAGACTGAGGCGGAAGGATTGCCGGAGCCCAGCAAGGATCTGCTGTCGCCCAGACTGGAGCGGCCACTGCACTCCAGTCTGGGCGACAGAGTGAGACTCCAACTCAAAAAAAAAAAAGAAAGAAAAGGATCAACAGCGGTGGGAAACTGTGGGGGGGCAGGGAGGTGGGATTAACAGTAGTCAATATCTGTCTGGGGACTGGGGGGGGACACCCCTTTCAACAAGGGTGCCTGAACGATGCATATTTGTATACCTAACCCTTAACTGTACCCCACAATTTTAAAATAAAAAATATGTTTTTAAAAAAAGTCATTAACTTCCAATTCAGAAAAAAAAAAAAAAGAATAATATTAGCTTAGGATTCAGACCGGGTTCAAATCTCAGTTTTAATGAAGGTTATGTTCAATCTGTGATTCTTGAATAGCACACAAACAAGAATTGATAAGGATTATTTATGTTCATTAAATGCCCAGTTCGGGCTTGGCACAAAATTATGAAGTCCTTTGGCTAAAGTTGTTCCTTCACTTTATTCTATTTTCAGTGTGACATGAAAAGGTGCCTGCCATTCTGTCAAACTTCTTATTGTAAAAACAATGTGGAAAGCTACACTCAGACAAAAGCCACCACCCTGTTGGTACAATATGGTTCTCAACATGGATGATTTAATAAGTGTTACTATAATGAGGTGGGAACAAGAATTAAAGACATTTTCTCAGTAGTCACCATTGTCATACAGCTGTAAGATTTGGACTATATGCAACTGTCAGATGTGGAAGTCAGAACAATCTCAGCTGTTTTATCACACAACACCTGAAATAACAGAATTTCAGAGTTGACAACACTAAAAAAAAAAGTGAGATACATAGATGATAACTATCTACCTTGAAGGGGGATTGCTGGGTCATATAGAAGGTCGATTTTCAGATCTTTTAGGAATCGCCACACAGTTATCCACAGAGGTTGTACTGTTTTACACGCCCACCAACAGTGTAAAAGCATTCGTTTTTCCTCACATCAGCATCTGTTGTTTTTTGAGTTATTGATGATGACCATTCTGATTGGAGTTAGGTGGTAATCTCTGTGTGGTTTTCATTTGTGTTTCTTTGATGATTAGTGAAGCTGAACATTTTTCACTTATGTTGGCTGCTCATATGTCTTGAGAAGTGTCTATTCATATATTCTGCCCTCTTTTTAATAGGGCTGTTTGTTTTTTTCCTTTTGGCATATTTGGGTTCCTTGTAGATCCTGGGCGTTAGGCCTTTGTCAGATATACAGTTGGCAAATATTTTTTCCCATTGTGTGGACTGTTTCCCCACTCTCTGGATGGTTTCTTTTACTTTGCAGAAGGTTTTCAGTTTGATGAAGTCTCAATTGTCAATCTTATCTTTTATGGCATGAGCATTTGTGATTTCTAGCTTTTCTTAGCCATGAAGAAGATTAGAATCTTGATCTTCAGTGTAATACCTCCATGACAAAAGTATCATTGATATTCTCAAGATTTACTCTTCCAGCTGGGCCCAGCACAAATACTGTACTCTCAAGACAGATTCTCCAATGTTCTTTGATCAAGTTTCATTCCGAACTCTTAAAGTCGTCTGTATTACTACTGTGCCTATTTATGCCTGAGAAACTTAGGGGCCATAGACTGTTATACTTTTTTTGACTTCTCAACTCTATCACAGTGCTTTGCATATAATTAGGTACTCAGTAAATACCTAAAAAATCTGTAGAAATGAAAGATGGCCAGGCGCAGTGGTTCACGTCTATAATCCCAGCACTTTGAGAGAGAGAGACGAGAGGATTGCCTGAGTCCAGGGGCTCGAGACCAGCCTGGACAACTTGATGAGACCGCATCTCTACAATAAATCAAATAATTAGTCAGGTGTGATGGCATGCACCTGTGGTTCCAGCTATTGGAAGGCTGAAGCGGAAGGATCACCTGTGTCCAGGAGATTAAGGTGGCAGTGGCCGTCAGCATGCCGCTGCACTCCAGCCTGGGTAACAGAGTGAGACTCCAACTCAAAAAATAAAATAAAAAGAAATGAAAGATAGCTTTCATGGGTGTCTGTGTGTGTATAAAATTAGCAATGACCATGAAGGAATGATATAAATTTAGTGCTAGATGGTTATGAAAAATTGTCATAGGATTTGCGGGCATGTTGATGGATCCGGGATGACTATTAAAAAATTCATCAGTCAATTATTTTGCTCATAGAATCTGATACTTGGATCATGATATTCCCTTAAAAATTCTTCCATCTCTTTGCAAATGAACTTGAGTCAATTGTTTTACAAAATATGTATGTTCTTAAAGTTGTTGCTTCCCAAAATTTGCTGAGAGGTGCATGTTATTGTCCAACACTGACTCCTCTTTGTTTCCAAATATCCATGTGAGTGGTAGCAAAGACATCAGTCCCGTTGATGATACAACTCTAATACAGTTCTCAGTTGTTAGTTGCATTCAGTAAGATGGCTTAGTCAATTCAGTGTACACGTCTCCTGCCAGTAATTTTGACACTCTTACTTTAATCTCGAAGTGTATTCTGCTGGAGTCGTCTGGTCTCGCACCACCACACTCTTGGTAATATATTGAGAAGCACATTTAGATGCCGTGAAAATCTGTTTCTAATTCCTGGGTAGCAGTCAGTGATGAGGACTGTGATGTGAGAGTGTCGATGATGACAGCCTCTGTGTCATGCTTTAGAATGTGTGAAGCATCACCCCTATGGAGCCATGGCATGCTCTTCATAATGGTACCTCCTCCAAATTGCAAATGAAGGGACTACCATTAAGAATATCTTGTAATAAGAAGAGAGGTTCTAATTTGATTCTTCTTCCAAATAACCAGTTCTGTGAACACCATTTATTGTAGAAGGCTATATTTTCCCATTAGTTATTATGCATTCTTTATCATTTCATAAGATTTTATGAATATAATCTATTTATATACCTGTTTGTTACTTCTTTTGCCAGTGTTTTGAACCCAACATTTCCAGTTATATTAAATGTATTATTGGGAGTTCATACATGCATATGTCACTAAAGTGCACTCTTAGCATGGTTAAAGTAGTAATATTTATAGATGTATGTTTCATTACAATAAAAGAAATTGGAAAAAGAATATACGAGACTTCCACCCTGAAATGATAACGGAAGTGACATGCAGAATAAATGCAGGAGCCGGTCTAGGACTGAGCTTGAGGAAGCTGGCAGGAAAGGCTGGGTGGAGAGGACGACCCTGTGGCAAGGCCAGGAATGTGGTTCTAGGGGTGGGAGGAACCCAGGGAAGCAAGGTGTTATGGAAACCAGAGGACAGTGTTTCAAAAGAGGAAGATGTCAGTGCTGTGTGCTTGCAGGTTGCAAAGGAAATGAAGTTGGACATGCTCACGAGATTTAACAGCATGGCGGTCAGGAACTGCATCTTCTGTCCTTTCTGGTCAACCTCTTGAGAGCAGGCACCTTGAGCAGAACGCAACACCCTCCTGTGTCACTTTTCACTTAAGAAGTGCCCAATAAATACGGAAGGCACAAAAAAATGTATACACATTGTTAGTATGATTTTCGCTCAAAAGATGGCGTTGATCAAATGAATGCTAGCATCGCCATGTGACGGGCAGGACAGTCAAAGATGGTGGAACGTCATAAAGCACATCGCTACCATAATTCAACTCAGCTTAAAAAGTCATACATAGATAACAACTCTTAAAATGTGTATACTCTTTGGGGGCACCCCCTGTATTTACTGCATTTACTGCATTTACTGTATTTAGTGTATCTGTATTTGTTTGGGGCAGATGATGGATTGTGTTGGTGGTTACACAAATCTACGCATGTACTAAAACTCACTGACCTGTACACCTCAAAAGAATCCACTTTATTGCATCTTAATTTTTAAAAAATTTAAAGTAATAGTAAGATTCTTTTTCTTACATGGTGGAAGGCTCTTGAGTGTTTATTATACATTGATTCTTTAAACCTTGTATTTTCTAAATAGTCCTTTCTACTTACACAAGAGCTAACACAATACTGAATATGGAATAAAAAAGTCTAACGTTTAAAATAAGACATTTAGGAGAAATACAGAAAAGGTAGTAGGAAATCCATGGAAATAAATGTATAATATAAGTCCATGTTAAGAGGATGAAAAAGAGCAATTAAAAATCTGTATTATCTCATTTTTGTTTGACAGACAGGAATGGGTCACTTGCGCGTAACAAAAGATGGACTTCGCTTGGAAGGGGAATCGGAATTTTTATTCCCATTGTATGCCAAAGAAATACACTCCAGAGTGGTAAGAAAATGATACAAGATATAAATAATCTGTGTTTTTTGAGAAATAAATAACAGTTAAGCACAGAATTCAATATTCTTAGAGGAGATTTTTAAAGTGTATACATGTACACACATAATGATATGCTCTTTATAAAAAGTTTGCCTATTAGGTTGTAGAACTTATCTCTGATATTACAAAGACTTCATTTCCATAAGCTTCAGGTCTGAATTTGGTGACCTCAGTAATTTAGACTATAATGGTTTAGAAATGAAAATCTTTACCAAAAACAATGTAAGCTTCTTTCTATCACAGCAAGTAACTTAAATACATTTAGTTCAAGGCGTTCAAAATTACCTGAGCATCTCAGAAAGAAATGAGTTTCATTGTATTATGTTCTGCATTAATTATACTAATTACAGATTATGATCCTGTAGAATTCTCCATAAATAGATTCAACATTACCATTAAATAATTGTGTGACTTTTAAAGTAAATCAAAGCCGGGGTCGGTGACTCAGCTTGTAATCCTGCGCTTTGGGAGACTGAGGTGAGTGAATTACCTGAGCCCGCGGGTTCAAGACCCACCTGGGCAACTTGGTGAGACCTCATCTCTACAATAAATTTTTTTTAAAAATTAGCCGGGCGTGGTAGCGCGCGCCTGTAGTTCCAGCTACTTGGAAGGCTGAGGCGGAAGGATCGCCAGAGCCCAGCAGGTCGAGGCTGCAGTGGCCAGGGAGCGTGCCACTGCCCCCTCCAGTCTAGGTGACAGAGTGAGATTCCAACTCAAAAAAAATAAATAAATAAAGTAAATCAAGATTTTCTTCATTTATCTCCATAGAGTTCATAAGAATAGCCAAGAATAAAACATAAATAAGGTCAAACAATGTTTGTAATATGTTTTGTTTTTCCTTATGTAATGCTATGAACATTATAGTAGACACAAACATTTTGCTAGATAATTGATAAATAGTATTATCTCCCCCCAAAAAATGTTAAATCTTCACCCAACTATAACTTGTTAGTTATTTGTAGAACACGTTCTTTATTTTCTTTCCATATTTCTGAACAGGAAAGGATATGTCAGTATCTCTTACCTGCAGAGGTTGTACCAGCTACTGGGGAGAATTAGAAAGGAAACAAAAGCCTTCCTACTAAGAAACATGAGGTCTTGTTAGATATAACACACTCCTGAACCAGACAGCAGAATGTTCGCCAACTCTTCTCTCAACTGTAAAGTGACAACAACTTACACATTAATATGGACCACAGAGGAGAGATCCTACTCAGTGCAGAGTATGTAAGGTGTTTTAGGCACGATTATGTGACTTCTGGGGACATCTTATCGAGGTGGGAGCAGGCAAGTGACATGTAATATCACAGGCAGACACATGTAAGAGCCTGATTCTGTGAGCTTATTCAGGTAACACACTAATACACTAACCATGGCAGCATTTCAGTGTTCAAAACACCCCTGTCACACAGGGGCATGGGGAATTAATACAAGTGTTTCTAAAAACTTAAGTCAGACATGAGCAAAGAATTCAAATATTAGAATTTAGTCCTTTTTTCCCTAGTTTGGTATTGGCTAATCCCCATCATATTTTGGAAGGGATCAGATTTGTAGAATGGTCTGGTGACTGAAATCAGGTGATGAGATCATAGCAGATTTAATATTCTGGAATTAATAATAACTCTCAGTTATATTTTATCAGGCATTTTCATCTCCAGTGTGCTTTTTAAAGAAAGAGAGCAAAATTATACAAAATATCTCACATAATCACCTATTAAAGTCTCATGATGTGGCATTAATGGGTATGTCAATCAATACATAAAATTACTGTAATAATTCGAATTACTATGCGATAACAGTGCTGTGTAGTGTTTTGTAACTAATATGACTTTCCAATAATAGCAGTCACCGAACAAAACTATGCCTAGTAGCTTCTGTATGCACTGATATATTAGTTATATGTTTCCTTTTCAAAGATAAGTCTAGGAAGCAATTTCCCATAAAATTACAGGAAAGAAATTACCTTATGAACTTGCAAAATTTGACACATAATTCATTTATCTAAATTGCTGAGCTGAGAGAATTTCTTCATTATAAATATAATTCAACATGGTGCTCTGGGTTCTAACATCTGATTACTCAGTAACCTTTCAAAAGTAAAACATGCGGTCCTGTATTTCATTCATGGTTTGAATTTATGGTTTAAATCCATTGACCCTGCCCATTAGCCCCGACACATAGCAATTATTTCTGATGAAACAAAAAAGGTTGATTTAAAAATATATATATATAGTTGCCATGATCAAAAGCTAAATGAAACATAAATACAAGGTAAACTCTTTACTTGAAATTACCGTCTTTGCAGTCCACAGCCCTGAAAAGAAGCAAGAGGAGCTTACAGTCAAAGCCCACGAGGTAACAGGGAACACAATGTCACCTCGCTGGAACTCCAGGCAGGCCATTGTGTGACACGGTAATGAAGGTGCAAGTCCAAGACTGAATATCACTGAGGACAGAAGCCCTAGACCAGCACTAAAAGATGGAGAGACCCTATGAGCCGAGTAGAAACAACAGTAGAGACTTTCGACAGCTGATGAGAGCAGAAAGGAAAAAAACACAGTCACACAGTAAAGCTTAAACACTGAAACTTCAAACCACATGAGGAAACCTTTATCTAAAAAGAATCAACTCTACAAAAAAAGAGGTCTGACATCCAACTAAATAAAAATAGTCAATTTCATAATGCCAGGAAAACATACTTAAGATTCTCAAAGAAAGAAAGCTATTTATTGATCAATTTTCCTTTAAAGAACAAGAAATGATAAAATCAAAACTGGAGTTACAGGACAATAGATGTCCTGTCCCACAACTAAAGAATGAAAACATATGTGAAACAGGGGTTTTTAAGTATCAGACAGCGGGTCTCTCTGCTATCCCTGAGAGAAGAAAGACAAAAGGATGAGTCATGGGACTGGCCCCTTCACCTCCTGAAGGGTTTCCAGGCCACAGCGGGACAAGGAAGCCAGTGCAGAGGCAGTTGGTCTCCAAGCTGGGGAGGCAAGGCTGGGAGACCAGGGAGATCAAGGCAGCTGCAGTTTGCAGTGAAGGGTACCCTAGAGGTGAGGGTTGCTGCCCAGGGATAGCACTCCAGAGATGGCGGAGCTCACCTTCCATTACCCCTGTCCCACCCCCAACAGATCTCTAGGGAAATCTTTGTCAGTGCATGTGTGTGAGGAAACTACCTTGAGACTCACAAAATCATCACTTGAAGGCAGCAGAAGGAACAGCCCTGGAGTTCATGCAGGATTGGGAACAGCTAACATTCCCACCAGCCAGGTGGAAGACCTCATACGTCATGGGCTTCAGGTAGAAGACCGGGGCGCATTGACTCATAAGTGGTTCAAGATCAACACTAGAGCAGATGCTGCTCTGGTCCATCCTAGAAAAGCTTAACAGGAAACCTTGAAAGTGTCCTGCTGACTGTGCCCCTGGGCAACGTTCAAGAAAACTGAGTTTCACCTGTGCACAAAGGTCAATAAAAGTGTGGACATATTAGGGAGAGATCTGGCTGCACTATTCACTGTAACAAAATCACAGAAATCATGGAACCAAACTCTACTGCCCATCAAAAGTGAACCAGATCAAGAAAATGTGGTACATACATGATGGAGTATTACGCAGCCATAAAGAATGACAAAACCCTAGACTTTGCAGCAAATTGGATGGAGTTGAGACCATCATACTAAGTGAACTATCACAGAAACAAAGATCTGAACACCGCATGTTCTCGCTCATAAGCGAGGCTTGAACATTAGCCACATTCGCACAAGGGAGGAATTGGCAGTCACTGGGCACTGCTAGAGGGGAGAAAGGGAGGATTGTGGGATCACGTGACAACAAAAGGGCATCTGGTTCATTACGGGGAGAAGGATAAGGGTCAGCTAGAAGCCCAACCTTCACTTATGCAGTTAACCTTCACTTGTACCTCACATTCCTATAATAAATTTTTTTAAAGATGGAAAGATAGAAAAGATACAAATTAATCTCCCAGAGGTGACAAGTATACCATCTGAAATTTTTTAACTTTTAATTTATTTTATTTTATTTATTTTGAGTTGGAGTCTCACTCTGTCTCCCAGATTGGAGTCCAGTGGCACACTCCCAGCCACTGTAGCCTGGACCTGCTGGGTTCCGGCGATCCTTCTGCCTCAACCTTCCAAGTAGCCGGAACTATAGGCGCGTGCTATAACGCCCAGCTAATTTTTTATTTATTGTAGAGACGAGGCCTCACCAAGTTACCCAAGTGGGTCTCGAACCTGCGGGCTTAGGCAATCCACTCGCCTCAGCCTCCCAAAATGCTGGGATTACAGACTGAGCCACCAAGCCCGGCCTAATTTTTTTTATTTTAAAGATGTGGGGTACAATTCAGGGTTAGGTGTACAAATGTTCATTATGCAAGTACCCTTGTTGGTGAGGTGTGCCCCCCTTCCCCAGGCAGATTCCATTACTGCCAGTCCCACTTCCCCACCCGACTCCTGGCAGTTTCCCGCTACTGTCAATCATTTTCTTATAGTATTACAATAATTGTTCAAGATCCATCTATGAGTGAAAACATGTGATACTCAATTCTTTGTTTCTGTGAAAGATCACTCAATATTATAGACTCTAAGTCCATCCAGGTTGCTGTGAAGTTCATGATTTTGTTCTTTATGGCTGCATAATATTCCACTGTGTACATGTACCACATTTTTTTTTTTATCCAGTCCTCTTTTGATGGGCAGCATGGGATTAACAGATCAACAGCAGACTTGACACCACAGAACAAAATATTAGTAAACTTGAAGGCATAGCTATAGATACTCTCCAAAATAAAGCACACAGAAAAGTGACTGGGAAAAAAATAAGAAAGTATCAGTGAACTGAGGAGCAATGTAAAGGGGTTTTATGTATAAGTAATTGGAATCCCCAAAGGAGAAGAGAGACTAGAGGGCAAATATTATTTGAAAAAA